AGTCCGAAATAGATTATAGAGCTTTAAGACGTTTGCTAGACTTTACTTTTATAAATAATTGTAATACAGCCTTAAAACCACAAGTAAAGGACATACAAAAGAAAATACTGAGAAAATCTCCAAGGAGCAAAGTATATATATAAGCTTCAAACTATTTATTTACTAGAATTGCTGCAATAAAACTTATGAAAACCATTGCAACTAAACAAGTGTGATTTGGGAAATAACAAATGTGTATACATAGTACATGTACACTTATATATAATATTAATATTTATGTGCACACTTACATAAAAAGACTGCCTGCATGATAGCAAATACGCGTCTATTTCTAGTTACGTTAACCACATAAGACTAGTAGTCCAACATAAAAGTGTCCATTCACTTAACCGAAATCATTCAGTTTGAGCAAGAGACAGACTCAACCGTTCATCTCTGGCTAAGAGTTTTTTTTGTTGCTTTAAACAGCACAGCACTTGGAAATTTCACATAAGGATCCTCTCTGTAGTCGAATGTGTGTGTATGTATGTTTTCATATCTGTCTAACGGTTAGTAGACTGCGTTTGTTTGTCTGCTTGTCAGTCTTTGAAGTGGTTCTGTCTCAACGTTGATTCTTAACTGCTGCTGCTTACTTCAAGAGTCATATTAGATTATCTTGTGGTTAACTCTTTGGTGTGCTTGTTTCCTTAAGATCATACTTATATAGTGTGCTTCCTCAGCTCCTTCCGCCGCTCTTTCGTTGCCTTGCTATCGTGTTATTTAACAAATGTATTGCATTTTGCGTCTTTACACACAAGATTTTTCAATTTATTTTGCAACCGACCATTCAACTTGGACATGATTGTCATTATTTTATTTCACTTTATTATATTTTATTTTTGATTTTTATCTCTACCGAATCCTTGCTATGACAGCTGATGGATAGTTCGGTGTTTAAGGCATTCATATATTTTGTATATGAAGGTGTGTGGGCAGAGTTTTGTGCTTGTGGTCGTGTCTTTTTTTTCAAATGGATATGTTTGTAGACGAATATTTTAGAAAATAATACAATGGAAATATTAACTCTCCTTTAACAGTGAGCAACTATATTTTATTTCAATTTTGATTCTCCTGGTCGAAAAGTATTCTATTTATATGATATAAACAACAATAGTATTATATAGAAAGGAGTATACACACATTATAATACTGACAACGAGAAGTTAGCATTTATTTCCTAAACAAAAAGTGTAATTATAAAAGAGAAGAAAAATTTCACAACACATATTATTTTTCACAATACCAATAGTTACAGCATCATATGTATTTATATTCTGTTCTCTTTGTAATTTAAAATTTTTATCTTACAAAATTAAATAAAAATAATCATACAAAAAATTTCATAAAAGTGCGCATTATACAGAAAAAAATATATATTAAAGTAAAAATCAACAATAATAGCTCTATTTAAAGTACACTTAAACTAGCTTGTCTTATGCAAACTGTAATACTTTTGAGTTGCTTCTGGTCAACAGCACGCATAAAAAGAGTAACCAGTAAGCAACAAGAATTTCCAAGAAAATTTTCTAAAATGTCAAGCCAAAAATATCTCACTAATCTCTACTCCATTGTATATTTTCTAGTGAATTATTTAGTTTACATTTAGTTATGCAAAGCCAAAATTACGACTGTCTTAGCTGACGCATTGGCTGAGGATTCGGATGCAATGCAAATGAAATGTAGCATAATTATGGGGGCTTAAGTGGTATAGGCTGGTAGTTGTGTTGGATTTGTAATGTTTTATGCTAACTGTTGGGTCTGACAAAAAGAAATATTTAAGAAAATTATTGAGACCGAAACTCACAATGTTCATCCATCAGTGGCTGGAATTAAATTACCATAGATAGATTTAGTTACGTCTCTTACTTACTCGAAGCCGCCCCAGAAAATTAGACGGATTTGCAAAATCTTTCCAATCGCGATCTATTAAATGAATTTTGTACGCCGAAAAAGATATTAAAATTTTTTTGCAATAGTTTTGTTAATTAAAGTAAAAGTCACTGAGTTTGCTTAAATGACAAAAGTAGTTTATGCAAACTTTTAGTAACCCAAGCTTCCTGAAAAATCCATGGCAATGATCGAAAAAGGTCTATAATCATAGGGAAAACCGACTCCATTAGCGATTTGTAGCGAATTTCATTCACAGTTTGCTCAGCAAAGATTATGTCGATTGTACCGCACTAGTACGGCTCAAAAAAACTTCTCATTCCTTAAATCATGGTAAAAATATCAGAAACCATCGGGACCAACTGAATTTAAACGTTTTTTTTTTTTTTTTAAAAATACAACCATTCGCCAATCGTTACATCGTGTCACACTTTAAATAGTCCAGGCCATGTTATTTCTTCCAATTTGTAGGCATGCCAGCTTACGCTTAGCATCCATTGGAGTTTTTTTATAATTTTTAGCTGCTTCAGGCTTTATCGGGCATTCAAAGCCAGCTTTCTTCCTTTACAATGAGTTCCATATGATTTTACATATTCCAAATAGCAATTTACAGTTCTGGAATTTCGATTTAATTTTTGGGCAATTTCTCTAATGGATAATCCTTCTAAATGGTGGAAATCCAATTTTTTACATTCCAAAGCAGAAGGAACGTCGTTTTTCTCCAGTCTTCACAATCTGTTATTAAAAAATTGGCTATTGTGGGAAAAATACAATTTCTATTCAAATTATCCGAAGGGCCAAAGACTCGTTATTGTAACCGTAAGTCTATAGTCTGGTTTAGTCCTTGTAATTTTTTCTTGAAACAAACTTGTTTCGTTATTTCACAGTTGGCTATGAATTTCCAGCTCTTCTGTGTAATTTTTTCAATTTGAATGTAAAGTTTCCTCCGAATGATTCCTAGCGAAAAAGGTATTAACTCCGTTTCGTATACGTTAGGAGATGTTCTCGACTTGGCCTACCCTTCAGCTTTTCCATTACTGAGTTTTTTCTTTGCCCTAGTGCCCACGATTAATAGGCAATCAGTAAATGTCGCAATCAATAAATGTTGGTATGGTCGCCAATGTGCCACCGGTGACTTTCCATAGACAGTCATCATGTCTATCTATCACAAAAGGAGAGAGATTTTACGGTCTTTTTGGTATACCGCAGTTCAATTTTGAGCTGTTGATGTATTGTAGATTGACATAATATCCACCTCTACTATAAAACCCCTTCTCTATTCACTTCCAGAGAATATCTGCATTTGAAAATAATTAATAAAAACCGAATTTGGGGATAAAGTCTGACTTCCATAAAGGTGTTGTGAATGAATTTAGAATATAGCAATGGCAAATTAATGTATAAAAAACAAAATTATTAAAAAAATCAAGACAAGAAATAATCGGTCAACGGAAATAGATTTCGAGCATACAAATATATAAATATATATATAAATTTAATTGATATTTTATCAAGAAATAGAGGTAACTACAGATTATACTAAACCACCTCCGAACGGCCGATGGATTTTTATTAAGAGCTTTTTTATTTCAAGTCAGAATAGCATTTTCCAGCCTTGATGTTATCTGCCGAGGGGCGAACGCAATTATAAAATGGAGCCTCTGCCTTCTGAAAGGCAGTACGTAATGCTAACCGCTCGGCTTGTGCGGTCACATACAAATTTATATGAAAATCTATTTTCAATGAAATTTCCATGCAAACCATTGTGCCCAAAGATAATTGTATAAATGTGCATTTCTATATGCGAAAATGTTTATATTTTTGTGCCAAATATTTTTTTTTTTGCAAGCTTCGCCTGTAAGTTTATGACAAACAACATTTACTTGTTTATATAGTCGCTTTATTCAGAACGACACACGGATACAAAAGGTTATAAAATCAGTGGAACTTACACACGAATCATAAGAATATTTACAATATGAAGCACGAACAGCAATTGGTAGTGGCAGTGTCAGCAGCAGCCACTTACCAGCAACAGTTAAAAAAGAAAGCAAATTTACAAACTTCTGCTTTCCGCTGCCGACATATCTTTTTTTATTTCTTTTTAATACATTCCTTGCCTTACTTACTTCTCACTTTCGGTTCTTGCACGCATCTTTATCTGGCAATTTGAATTGTATGAATTTTATACATACATGCAAACATACTTACACATAAATATATTCAAAAGTAAATTATTCGCAGCTTATCAGTGTCATGCGGGAGACACAACTGCCGATAAACGCATGTCATATGTGTGTGTGTGTGTGTGTGTATGTACGGGCATGTGTTTGACGAAGAGGAAATGTGAAGATAAAAATGGCAAAGAAACAGGAAAATATGCAAAAACTTGCCTTTTGTGTAAAGGAAAAAACATCACATCCCGTGTGACCGTAGTCAGTTAAGCGTGACAAGGATATGTTTGATTTGCCACATATTTTCTTTTTATTTATTATTTGAATTTGATTCGGTGTATGTGTGCGTGTCTCCAATATAGTCCTTAAAAATTTAGTTTTTTTCACTTTATAACTTTAGTAAATGGAATTTATTGCATTTATACAAGTATGCCAAAGGTCCTGCATATGTAAATGCAAATATTTATCTACAAATTTGAATTTAAGGATAACTTCATCAAACGATTTGCCAAATTTGTAAAGGCCCAGCGGTGTATTCTACCGATTTGAATACTATTTTTTTTACTTATTTTCTAGGTTGATTTGCATAAAAAGGGTAAATAAAGCGATACAAATCGGTTCATACGCAAGGAAGTGATTTCAGTTGAGATTTGTTTAATCAAGTCATGTTAAAATGAAATTATTAATTTTTACATAAATATGTTAATTTTAATTTATTATAAACGATATTCGAAATACACACAAAATAAATATAAAATGTTATGAACTATGTTCGAAATATCGAACTCATATATACACATATTTTAAATATTCGTATATATTTGTTTATAAATTGTCGTTTAAAAATTAATAATATTTTAAGAAATATTATATTAATATTTTTCTTCAATTTTCTTACAGATGAAACCATCAGCGAACACGAAGGCAAATCCGTGGTGATACCCTGTCCGGTGAACAAAGCGAAGTGCGGTGATCTGCATTCGATAAACTGGTTCAAGGGCGATGACCGCATTGCAGCAATGCTTTTGGGTGACAGCAATGTGACGAGCGTATCAGATGAATTTGCGAACAGGTGAGTTAATATTGAAAGCAACTTTCTGGGCTTAAGGATTATAAGAAAGTATATTTTGTATGAGCGTGTTTTTATGCCTGGACAAGAAAAAATTCTCGATTATTTCCTTTTTGGCGTCTCTTTCCAGTAAAAAAAATAAAATTTCTGCTTTTTCGTTAGAAAGATTTTTTTGAGTTCTTTCGAAAGAAAACTCCGATTTCTTCAAAGACACACTTCAGCAAACTCCCTGATCCACTTCTCGTGAAGTTTCTACATATTTACCAAGGAAAAACAGCTATATTTGTACCAAAAAGTACGAAACTTGAACCATTAGTACGATATGTCTGAATAGATCGATACCAAGTGCACTTTTCGGGAGAAAAACTGTTCTTCATGTGAATCTAGGCAAAAAGCTACCCCTGAAACAAGGTTTTCAATCTAAGATTCACTTCACAGAAAATCATTACTTATCGGATGCTAACATCATATGCAGAACATAACCTCAAAGTTTGAAGTTTGTATGATCAATATTAAAAAAGGGAATTAATCAACCTGAACTTGTGAATTAGCTGTAACCGTAGTATGTTGTCAAGCATATTTATATAAAGATATTTTAATAAATATATAAATATCGAAAAAATTCCCACGAAGAATATTTCAAATGTGGGAACATCATATTTCTGTCAACATACATATTTAGCGTGTCAAAAAATATTCTCCCAAAGCTTGAAGTGATTTCTAAAGTTAAGCAGAGTCTTACATTAAACTTCATTTGAATATTTTTTTCCAAATTTATGTCTTCTGAACTGGTGTCTGAATTTATTTAATTTTCTTTATTTTTTCCGGACATCCAGGAAAAATTTTCTTCGCTCACCTTTTTGTTAATTTAAAAAAAAAAATTCCCTTGATTTTAGGTTATCTAACATAACGTTTTCGATACAAATGATTTTGCATAAATGGCCAAAGAGTTTTAAGGGTCTGCGCAAGGCGCTTCTATTGAAACACGAGTATATAAAAACATCTAAGGGAAGGGCAGCAGATACTGCCAAATTAATATCTGGTGAATATTTGACCAGCATACATATCCGAATTTCCAATCCCTTAAGATAATACCTCATATATTGTTTCATATATCGCGAAACGTCTTCACTCTAAATACTCCTGATCTTGTTTTGTTGTATTCTTGTATGTAAACCGCTTGAGGGTTGAGTAATTTTTAGCTTAAAGGGGTTAAAAATTTCTGGCTATAACAACCTAGGGAACTCTTTAGATACTATGCCCCTAAGCTTGACCACAAATTTCAACCAAGCATATTTTTCTAATTTAAATTCGATACTGAAGATCGCATTGGATAGAAACCTATTGTCGAAAACTACAAGAAGAAGACTACAATCGTTTTGAAGTCATTAAGAAAGTTAGCAGTTAAAAATGGGAACTAAATCTCAGGATCTGTCTCTGAATATTGTTTTAGCAGTGTAAAGAAGAAGTAGATATATACATGTATGTAATGACGATGAATTCCATATTTATTTTGAAGAGAGAAGAGAACGAACACCACCTTTTTTTGTTTAAGGCATGGTAGTAAGACATGGGCATTTAGAGGGAATGTTTAAGAGAGATGAATTTGTGATACCCGAGTATGCATGTAGAGTATTCCAAAAATATCGTAATAAAGGACTTGCATTTTTATCCTGAGCTAAGATTAAATAATTAGATTAATTCAAGTCCTAGCGAGGTCAACATCTAAGAAAAAAAAATTTTAAAAATATATGTGTGGCAAGTGTTTTTGAAAATAATCCTTAAAATCAATACATGTCGCCAGGAGCTGAATAGTTTCCATCCATATTAGCATTTTAACACTGCAATCAAATACGGGCCTCCTAAATTGTAAAACGGTTCACCCTACATAATGAAGAGCTTAAATGCTTTAAGTCGAAATTATTTTAATCTTTTGTTTTCACAAAAAATTTGGTTACGAATGTACAATTTTTCATTTTAAGAATTTTAATAATTTTCCTTTTTTATTTGTTAACTAAAATTTAATTTTATTCCCTTTTCTCTACAGAGTCACAGTGGACCAAAATCCATTTAGATTAATAATAAAGGACTTAAAAATATCTGATGAGGATATCTATCTTTGTGATACAACATTTCTTATACCAATCGAAACGTGTGATAATTTCAACGGCTATCGTGTCGAGTTGAATGTCTTAGGTAAGCTAAAGAAATTCCACTATACATACATATACAAGACTATAAGAAAAGTCGTCTTATTTAAATTACGTCTAATTTAAAAGTAAAGCAAAAAATGTTTTTAATAATATTATATTTAATTGCTTTTGTAACTGTAAATTATTTGCTTATGCACGTTTTGAAATTATGGAATTTTTTTTTTTTTTGCTAAATTGGTTTGTTTTCAAAGTATATATATGCTTCTACTTATGTAAAATGAGACAGTTTTTCGTTCTTTGCTTTTTTATGCTTTCTTTATCGTTTTCGTGCTTCCTTTATTTTGAGTTTTGAAAAGTAAACTAACACACTACCGAACATGCATGTTGTTCTGTCGTTTTAAAATTAAAAAAATTTTAAATTTTTGCTAACATTTTTGGCTGTATGTATGTGTTTTCGGCTTTGCATGTTAACTGCCACATTTGACTTGACATGAATTTTTGATCTTGTGATATACATACCTACAGATGTTTTGTACATACATATGTATATGTGCAACCACTTATTTCCTTGTCGGTTCCCGCATTTTTTATTCCCTCTCCATGCATTGTAATGTCTATTCAGAAATATAACGTTACATTGCAAGTAATATATTTCGGAAATACCACAAGCCCGTTATCAAACATTTATGACTTTTACGCAACAAAATAACTGCTGTAATGAAAGAAAATGAATAAAAAATGAAAAAAACTGAAAGAAAAAACTCCTCGAAGATAACATATAATAACAACCATACAAATAAATGCAAGAAAAAAGTTTAAATTACTTAAAACAAAAGTCTTAAACAAATATATGTTTAAAAATTAACTAAACAGAAAAAAGCTTAAATGAAAAGACATTAAAACCAAATTAAACAAAAAATATAATATAAAATAAAAAAAACTAAAAAAAGATTGAAACAATATCAAGATAATAACATAAAAAATAATATAAAATATAATAAAATTGAACAAGAGTAAAAAAACTTTCAATAACCTGAAAACCTAAAATCAATTAATATTATATAAATGAAAATAAAATAAAACGAAATAAAAGAAAGCAAAATAAATAAAAGATAAAATGATATAAACAAATAAAAAACAAAAGTTTAAATAAAACAGATTAAATGAAACTAAATTAAGTGAAATAAAATAAAAACAGAAATGCTCAACAAACAAAACGAAGCTCTTTCAATTAACTGTTAACTCAGCGTTAACGTCAAATGGCTATGATATTAGCAGCATACAATTTAACAGTATTTCGGGTAAAACCGAATTAAATAGAAAATATTATAGAATTGAGTAAAATAAAAGAAGAAATTAAATAGAATTTAATTATATTAAAAAAAATCAAGTCAAATAAAGTAAATAAAATAAAATGGAATAAAATAAAATAAATCAAATTAAAATAAATCAAATTAAAATAAAATAAAATAACATAAAATAAAATAAAATAAAATAAAATAAAATAAAATAAAATAAAATAAAATAAAATAACTTAAGATCAAATTGAATGCTAGTGAAGAAGAAGAAATATACATCAGAACTCATTTATTATTATTATAAAAACAAAAAGTAATTTAAAACTTAAATAAACTTTTAATGAAACAAAATTCATCAAAATAATACCAAAGCCTAAAGCATGAAAAAGAAATAACATTAAATAAAGTAAAATAGAGGAAATACAATAATATAAATCACTTAAAAAAAGAAGTATTATAGTAAATCAAAACAAAGCAAATTAAATCAAGTCAAACTATGCTAAGTTGATTAAATTTAAATAATATGAAAAAAACTGAAGTAAATATGAAACACAAAATACTAACTTTAATGGCGTAGGCGCCGTTTACTCGATTATAGCCGACATAAAATAAGTTGAAACAAAATAAAAGTTTAACAGAAAGTTGAATAAATAAACAAACAAAAAATTAAATTATTTAATATTATTTAGAACTGGAATGAATTCATTTTTTCATTACATTTCGATACAAAATAATTAAAATTAAACAAAATTTAAGCAATTTAAATCGAATTAGATTTAATCAAACAAAATAAGTCAGATAAAAAAATAAAAATTAAGTAAACAGAGAAGATGAATTCATTATATTTAATTTTATTTAATTTAATCAAATAAAAGAAAAAATAATATAAATATATAATAAATAGAAAAGATGAATGAAGTTTCATTAATTTGAAAAAAGAATGAAAAGTTTTAAAAAAAAAATTAAAATTAAATGAGATGTGTAAAATGATACCCAACAAATAAAATGACAAAATGAAATTAAACAAAAGAAAATAAAATGATGAAAAATATAATGTCCAAATGAATTAATGAAAGTAAAATAATGTAAAACAAATTAAAATAAAATATATAATTAAAATAAATTGAGTTAAGTACCTTAAAGATTTCGGTTAAAAAAAGTTATTATTTTATCTTTCCCTAAAAATTATGCGAAATTCATTTATTACCTACTAACTCAATTAAAACTCATTTTTACGCTTACTTTTTCTTTAATTAAATTTTCAATAACGTTCGCTTTGCAAATACTAATCAAAAAATGCACGTCATCTCTGCTTTGCAACCACTTTTGATATCTAACTTTTATTGCTCAATGAAAATATAATAAAATTAAAGAAAACAGGGAATGCTTTTTCATTACCAATTTCATGTGACCATTCCTAACTTACTAACACGCTGTATTCGCTCTCGTCATACGCTTATTATGAATCATAAATTTTTGAATGCTATTTTTATAAAGCAAATTTTTTTTTTATATATATAATAAATTCTTGCTTTTGTTTCCATTACTCATTCAACAACAATAAAAGAAAAATTAAATTTCATGCGATTTTTTTAACTGATTGTACTTTTGATAAACCCCATTCCCACCGCTCTCTTCTACTACTACTACTACTCGTACTCGTACAACTACTACTACAAAACGCTCGTCAACATCATCACCATGGATTTGTATATGCAAAATGCAAATGCAATGTTTTACATTTATGTAAAAATAACTCTATATATATATAAACATATAAATACATATATATGCCTATATGAATACTAAATAATCAAAAACAAAAAAAAAAATAATAAAAAATAATAATAAAAATACACACCTTTAACACCCGCCAAACCAAATTAAATCGAATCAAATCAATGAATGTCAAAATTGAAATGTGTGCATACAACATAACCCCAAAAATCGGCTCCATTGACAATTTTTCGTTTTTATTAACAAATTTCATTATGTAAATGCTAAATAAAATATCACCAATACACCAAAAAAAAAAATATATATATATATATATATTTGATTGAAATGCAAATTAAACGTTTTTCATAAACAAAAACGTAGAAAATATTGGTAAATTACTAAACAAAAACAATTTTTATAATAAAAATCACAATTTTTTATATAGTTCAAATGGCATAAGCTAGTTTTAGTTGGTTTGTTTATATTTTTGTATGATTTTAATTTCATTTAGCACTTGCAACTTCATTTATTGCTTCAGTTGTGAATTGATTTTCATGCCGAATTTAGTGTCTTTTTCATTTTGGAATTCGGAGAAAAAAGTATTCGTTCATAATTTTTACTTTAACGTATTTTTCGTTTACTTATTTATTCTTTGAAAAAAACATTTCAGTTCAAATATCTTAAAAAAAAATAAAACTACAATAAACTTTATTATTAATTTTGGCTATATGAATTCACGAATTTTTCTTTAATTTATCAACACAAAAAAAATCAACTACTTCTACTACTACTACAACAACAACTACCGCAAAACCAAATCCTTCAAACACTTGATGTTTTGTCAACGCCTCAACAAAATCTCAAAAACACAAACATACATACATGTAAACATATATACTTTTATATGTATTTTTCCTGCTCTCCACCGTACATCACGCTCAACTCTGTACAAATAATTTTATTTGTTCTTTGAAACACCTACAATACACTGCAAAAAAAAATTGAAAAAAATAATAAACACACCAACAAATACACCCACACATATATATTTGAAAAAAAAAAATTAAAATATATATATACAAAAACATGAAACAACGTAACGATTGGCGTAATTTGTGCATACGACTGTTTGGTTGTTGTTGTTGACTGAGCAGTGCCACCAACAGAGGTTGTGATTCTGGATGAGAAGGGTGATCGCATCGAGAACGGTTCAATTATTGGACCCATGCAGGAGCGTCAAACATTGAAAGCGACGTGTGTGGTACGCGACACACGACCACAACCACAGGTCGGCTGGTGGCGGGGGAATAAACGACTAATGACGCGTAAGTACACTCATATTTCTTTCCCATATACTTAAATATTTAATTTATTATGAAAGAAGGTATTTTAAAACAACAGTTTCTTCTTGGCTCTCATGCAAAATAAACTTGGTTCAATGTCAAGTACACTTCCTACACAGCTAACCAGTGAAAGGTTTAGCATAATTTGTGCTCGGGCTGTTTGCAATTTACTTTATTATTTACATCATATTGAGCTTTTTATAGCATGTGACCAGGCCGAAGAGATGATTATTTGGAATTATAATTATGCGTTTAATTTCGAGGTTGAAAATAGTATTAGCATCGTTACAGGTCCTATATAGACGAAATTATGTCCTATGAGGATGTTGAGTGCCATCAGTGAGAACAAAGCCAACATGCAAATGTGCTGACTGTTTACTCGATGAAAAGAGATAACTCGATTTCTACTCGTTCTGTATCGAATCCATTCAAATCCTTTTTCGGCTAGGCCAGAGAATACGTAAGCGGTCAGCTCCTCACTACAAACGAGTGTGAATCGTAGGGATAAATTTCAAGTTAGCTAAAAAATATCAGTGGTTTCGATTGAAACATGGGGAAATGTTATCGTTAAAGCAGTTATCAAAATAACATTTAATTCGTTTTTAACCGAAAAGAAATGCTGCCGTTAATGTTGAGTCGCTAACAGATAATGTTAAGCCGTTAACAGATAATGTTAAACGTTCACACTGAATTGTACTGTTAATATCTTAGCAGGCAGGCATTTAAAACTAACGTCAACGATGAATTTGTGTTATTAAAACATTAACAATTTCATTTCGTTTCGTTAACACCAACGAAATTATTTCCCTAAGTTTGTTTTTCATGGCAGCAAATCTAAATGACGTCGTTTCGTTAGTTGAGCATTTCTGAACATAAAACAATTAGTTCATATGGGTAGTAATGCAGTGTGCAATGCAGTGTGTTCTCAACGTCAGCTAACCAATGAAATATCTAATTCATCGAGAGCAAAATTCCGTCTTATAATCTTCAGTCGCTATACTTTTCGATAAATTATTACGGTTTTTTTACACGGGTCTGGTCCAACCAAAATTTAAATTTGTTTGTAAGTTTTTTTTTAAATCTATTTACAGTCCAAAAATAATAAACAAATTATTTATCTCGAAATTTCAAAATGACAATTATTAATTATTGGACTGAGATAAAATATGGGTTTGAGCGCTTTCACTTAATGATATTATATTATAAAAGCTTCAACTTTTATAATCCTTTAGCAGGAATAATCAGAAGATCGATACAAAACTTATATAAGTTTTGCATATTCAATGAATTTTATAAAAAAACCCCGCTCCCACTTCGTAGAGAATCAACGCATATCTCAAATTAAAAAATGTATAACTTCGTATACATTCATATATACATAAATGAGTTCGTTTAACATCCTTTTTTGCACTCCTCCGAAGTAGCATAATGGCGCAGGTCAACCACTTGAGCTGCCACTTAAGGCTAATCTCAGTCAAAAGTCCTGCTGAAACATTACGAAGGACACAAAATTTACGACTTTACACGCCCAAAAATAAACCGAGAAAACTTGGATGGCAGACTTAACACTTTCAAAAGTTCCGTTTGCCACACACAACTTGCACACTTGCACTCTCGCACTTGCTGAGCCGGCTCTAGCATCATCATTCGAGTAAGACGAATGCGTGTCTGCTGCGCAATTTATTGGTGCAAGCAAAAAAGAAAAAGAATAACGGCGATAAACGCATAAAAAAGTTAGTGATATAAGCGGTGTCTTATCGGACTGCAGAGTAAGAGTAAAGCGAAGTGAAGAAATATGCAAGGAAAGCGTTGGCGGTGGGAAAGGATCACACTAAGTCTGCTTTTCAGAGCGAAGAAATGCAAAGAGATAACCGTTAAAAGGCATCAAATGCTCAACAGAAATTCCTTTTACACACACATTCACACGCGCACGCACATTAAAATAAAAGCATTGCTGGAAAATAGCTGAAAGCATTGCTAATAAAATTTTTTTATTACTATGCATAAAAAAGCAATTGCATGGAATTTCTTGGAATGCTTGCAAGCAAGCGTCACATAAAGAAACTCGCTTACCTACTAACGGTTGGCAGCTTTTATTTCCTGTACTCCCGCGCTACTTGTATCCTGATTTTTTTTTTCTATAACGATGATTGTGCCACCAAATTAATTGGTTTCTTTTAAGGAGTCAGCGTAAGTAGGAAAAAAAGTGTGAGAAAAAGGTGAAAAAATTCCAAAGACGCGTAATGTAAAGCACGTTAGACGCCGGACCTTAGATTGCAACCTGATAGTCAGCGACTTGAAGAAATATAAGTTTCGCTACGTGCTTAGAGCAAAAATTAATGTGCCAAAGAGACAAACCATTATTTCAACGGAATGCCCGGCAAATACTTGCTCGCAGCTCAGCAAACAAGAGATAATACTAATCCAAGGCAAATGCTATGTGCGCGTTTTTTCTCAGCTCATTTTCATAGTGCATAAAGAGTGTTTCTTAAATCTTTTCTTACATTTTTTTTATTTTATTTTCTTTTGCTGAGAGTTTCTGATTTTGCTAATAATTTCCGGCGACTTTTTTTTACCTTTTTCTCCTGCACCAACATAAATCTCAAAAGTTGTTTACTCTTTTCTATTGGCCATTTACTCAATTTATTGTGCTTGTGAGCGCGAGTTGAGGGAGGGGGGGAGTAGCACGCGCTTTTTATAAATTTATTCACACTTTTATAAACATGATTTTTTTCTTCTTTCTACACTTTTAATACGCTTTTGTTTCAGCCCTTTTTCTCGCGTCCACCTTTTACTGTGATTTGCTTAATTAGATTTTTATCCGCGCTTTGGTTCGTCTATCTTAATTGTTGTTGCTGTATTCAATTTGCCTTGTATGCGTCACTTTAAGTGATGTGTTAATAGATGAAATTTGAAAAGGTGGAAAAGCATACGAAAAGTTTTGTTTAAGGTCTAGGATGAGGTTTTTCATTTATTGTGAAATACTAAAAAAATATTGTTTCTCTATAGTTTAACATATATTTGTTACCTAAATGTGAAAAAATAATAGTTCGCTGGCAGGTCTCAATTGAGACCTTGTAGAAAGTGCTCCGACTGTTTGGTAGGGTGCCACATTTTGGTGTGTTTATGTCATTGGATCCAGTTCTTTGAGATATCTCTTTATTATGAACGACTACATGACTATTACTTCTCTTATGAAGAAAGTTAATTCGACCTGCTGATCGTTTCTTAGTTAATTTGGTATGAGAATCATTCGTTTGGGAATAGATCTTCATAGTCGTTAAGCCGAAACAGAAATGCCTTAACGTGCTCCGAGTTTTCAGCCCGAATGAGCTAAATTCGTTTCTCTTTTTCTGCTCATTTGTTATCGACACCGATTGCGCGAGTTTAGGGGAGTAAGTAATAGCACATCACTCTTTCTTCTTTTCGTTTATCGGTATCAGTTAGAAACACCAAGTGAGGATAGTTCCGTCTTCACCTCACTATTCTTTTTTGATGTTTTGTTCTTCGTTCGATTACGCCGGTCGGTTTTGCATCGAGTATTTTAAAACTGGAGCCCTCTCGTCCACTGGCTGACCGAATCAGCGCAAACGTGTTCTCTTTGCCAATGTCGTCATTAAGCACATACCTATAGGATGTTCATCTTTCTTAATATGCAAAAGTCGTGAGTACTACGGAAATACTGTTAAATTGGTATTTTTTCGAGAGAGGACTTGACATTTTAGTTGTTTACTCAGTCCGAATAGTAGATATTAGCATGAGAAATTTTACTGTGGATTTTCAGGTGGACATTCTTATAAGTCTTGATGATGATTCCAAGATAGAAAAAATGGATTACAAATTCAAAAAGGTGAATAACATATTTGTTGTTGGAGCCAAGAGGCTAGTGCGCCGCTTCGCGCTTAACTAGTCTGAAGGAAGTAGAACTAATCTACTGGTTAAAAAGGCTGATGAGGTTAAAATAATCGACAAACACCATTAAATCTACGCTCTTTAAATTGTTAAATTCTGCTGTAAATATGGTCCTGAAAGTGTCACTTTCTCTGAAAGCTTTTTTGGTATCGAATAGCTCGAAGAGGTTCTTGCCGATCTAGACAGCACCTTAAGTGTTGTTTAGTGTCGGTTTATATAGTCATTTATATTGTTCGTGAATACCACATTTAAATATTTCTCATAGAGAGAGAGAGAGCTTATTGTTGGCTCATCGAAATCTGCTACTAAACCCAGTAGTTTGCCACTCCGAGATATGCGGTTTAATGATTTACTTGCTGCAATGTCTGTTCATCTGAGGTGCGGCTGCAAGGATGTGTCGGTCTAAAGGCAAGTTTCTGCGCTGGGCTTAGAACCCGTCAAAAAGAAATCAAATTTCTTGTCCCACAAATCTTTTAATTGCAAATATGTGTCTCTAGACACGTCTCTAGTATGATAGCAGTTACGATGCGAAGTCCCTTCCGATCACTAGATTTGTAGAATTAATATTTATTTGTATTTGATATTTGTTTCTACCTTCCAGCCAATTGTTTTAGTTTATATAGGATAATGGTACTGAAAACAGTGGTTCTGACACTGAAATAATCTCAGTCAGTTAGTTGGGCACCTATGTGAACTCTGCTTCAACTAACTGGTCTGATCGAATTCTAACAGCAATGACTCAGCGGAGCTTAGAATTCGTCTAAATTTTAGTCACCGGACATTAGCGTAAAATCGAATTATAAATACAATTTTTTTTGGTTTTTCTTTACGGTCCACAGAGTGAAGCGTCCAAGCTGAATCGAGATAAATTTTGCTGGCCTTGAGTCAAATTTAATATTTAAAATATCTTATCTCAGATTAAGGTTTTATTTTCGTAACTTTCTAATAAAAATGTGTATATTAAATATCGATAAGTGATATCTAATTTAAATATTACTACATATTATAACTAATAAATTATAATTAATTGCATTTAAACAGATTCCGCCTCATATGTCGAAACAGATGGCCTATTCACTGCCACATTGGAACTAACACAGGAATTGTCACGTGACGATTTGGCGCGAGACATTGAGTGTCGCGTAGAATCAGCAGCACTGCCAAACAAGCTAATCAACAAATTTCGTGTCGATTTACAAGGTAAGTGAGATCAGCAGCTGTGTGAGTATTTTATTTAATCATATCAACCAAGAATTCCTACGAACTTTCATTTTGAAGTGTAAAAAAGTAGCTTTCCTTGCGCAAAGTTGAAAAGGTCACGATAACTAAATTACAGTAATTAATTAAATTGAGGCACAAAATTTTACACCCTCTTAGGCATGACGGTTAGCAATATTTTGTTAAAATAAATAAATGTGCAAAAGGATGAATAGTATTTAATTATTTGTATCTAACTATGGAGAATTTAGAAGGTGAAGAGAGCCTACATTAATTCACAGTAGATTTAAATAGAAAGATGTAAATTTGGTCTAATCAGATTTTATATTATAAGTAATTAACTAGGCGGCCGCGGCAGCTGTTGCCCCTCGGCAGGGTATATCAACCACTCTGAGTGTATTTCTGACGTGAAATAAAGCTCCTAAATAATAAAAAAACCATCAGCCGTTCGGAGGTGGCTTAGTATAAACTGTAGATCCCTCCATGTGTTGGAAAAACATCAAGACGCAAAATCACAAATTGGAGGAGGAGCTCGGCGGAAAGTTGCTTCAGCGTTTACAAAGCGCCAATTATATATATAAACCAGCTTAGACTTAATATAATACAGCGAACACATAAAGAAGAGAAAATCTGATATCGGACTTGTAATGAGATAGGGTTTCGTTCGCCGAATTCCGTCAATTACTCCGTTCCACCACAATCTGTATCAAAACGAATTATTTCAACATATCGCTTATTTGTACCAAATTAAATATGAAATTTGCCTTTTTGAGAGCCTGGAGTTCATGTGCTGTCCACCATCATGCCAATTAACACGAAGAATGTTCATAGAGCTTACTGCCTACAGCCTAGTAAATGGCACGGAAAGTGCAAAACCTGTAGATTGTGAACCCGAAATTCAAAGCGCTGTTATGTAACAGTCGCTTAATTATCCAACTATGATGAGGTTCGAATAGCGATTGCCCGTCAAAAGAACAAAAAAGGCCCACCGGCAGTAGGTAGTGAATACTGACAGTGCATTCATCACGAAAGTAGTTTCCAAGTTCTGCGCCAATTACAGTGGGATTTTGTTTCTAAATATCGCTTATAGGAATCTATCAAGCGTATTGTGTTAAAGACTAAAGCCCGGCGTTAACAAGCCAATTGTAACTTATTAGTGTGGCTATTGACCTAGTAAATCCACCATTGACTTGATGCTCAATATATTTTTTCGATAAAAGGATGCCTCTACGTTGCTACTTCTGAATTTGGTATCTCCGCAAAACCTATACCACTGTGTTAACTGACTCTAGACAACACCAGTAGCGCAGTTATAATTGGGAAGGGCCTCTCTGAGCCATTCGATACCAAACGATGTTTTAAACAGGGTGATTCTTCATGGTATGATTTCTTTAATTTATTGTTGGATAAAGAAATAAGAGCTGCAGAGCTAAATAGATAAGATACAACTTTTACAAGTTCTATAAAACAACTGGGGTATATCGTTGACATTAGCAGCTCTTCTATCTACTCCAGAGGAAAAATACTGCGAAATTAACGGTTCTGGTATCGAAAAAGAGTAAGACTGTCATCAAACAAACAGTCATGGCATTCACGATTTGGTTCCCACGTCACTGGTGATAGTCATAACTCAGAAGTCGTAGATAATTTCGTCTATCTAGGAACCAGTATCAACACGAATAATAACGTCAGCTTTGAAATCCAACGCAGAATCACTCTTGCCAACAGGCGCTACTTTAGACTTAAAAAGTCAAGTCCTCTCTCGGTGAACTAAAACCAAACTCTACAAGTCGCACATCATATGAGTCCTGCTATATGACGCAGAAGCGTGGGCGATGCCAACAGCTGATGAGTCCTCTCATGGAATCTTTGAGAGAACAGTTTTGCGAACGATTTGCACTTTGCCAAAAATTGCAGTCGATGAAACGATGAGCTGTACGATTTATATAGGCTACGCAGCCTAGGTCATATTGCTTTCGATACAGGACCCGCCGGTGAAAGCAGCGGAAAGGAAAGACATCCACTGCATTGGAAGGATTTTGTGGATCTGTTGGTGCCCACACCAATAAGTAAAAAGGAAGATAAGACGATTAATCAGACTAAGTGTAGTATATTTAAGATCAATTGCAACTTAAGCTATGTGGCACTATATACATATAGCTGGCAGAGAGGCGAGAGTCATATTCAAACCCATAGTGAGTAGAAGTGAGTGAACATACCCTTGGGAAAATTTACTAGGCATTATTAGTAGTAAGATTGCCTCAGATAATACATTATACTCAGGGCGCAAGAAGCGTATAAAAGGATACTTTAACTAAGAGTGCATCTAACTCTGCCCATCGAAAGAACTTTGGAGCATAAGGAATACGATCTAAAAGCTTTTTTGGACGCTCATAAATAATTATTAACGAAACAATCGTAAATAGTCTGCAATCGGTTAGTGTAGAACCTTTGGGCTGCTGGTGGCTGGTGGATAGCATAAGTATTGCAGTGGCGGTCAAACTACTGACTACTGTTAGCATCGTAATAGAGTACACTTTGGGAATCTTACACCAATGGGTGTCTCCTAAAGCTTTGGAGGTAAATGCATATCGAACATATGTGGAACTAACATTCCACTTTACTTCTTTAAATGACCGCAATGAACGCAACGAAATAGAAAGACAATCTTTCTTTTGTATTTTGGACTGCTACAAAGAATTGCTGGCATCTACATATTTTAATTAGATGCACTTCAGGCAACACTTCAAGCTGTTTGTCTTCGTTCCAGCTTAACTACTTTGTGCATACGTAAGAGCTCGAAATCTTCTATCAATACCATATGTAGAATGCCCGCTGCTAATAGTTAAACTTCTAGGAAAGACTGGGAGGAAGGACGATATGCAGGGAGGAAGGACGATATGCAGAAAGTCTGAGTCTACGCCGCCTTGTTGAGGACACGACTCGGAAATCTAGTGGTATTCTTTTTGAGAAAATTTATAGTCTCAAATCTGGACGTCAGAGCACTCTTTAGCTACTTAAAAAGCATTGATGATGATTGAGATTAAAATGAACCCTCTTTATTACCTGACACACTTGAGAGAATAGTTTTGAAAGTAATTAATTACGTTTAGTGTGCGTATGAAGCACAAAACAAATAAGAAATAAAATATATTAATTAATATATATTAATTAAAAGCTCAAAGCTTCAGTTAGTTAAATACTTGAGCCAAAGGCTAAACCACTTTATTAAAGTAGAAATAAAAAAGAAACTTGTATTTATTTATAAAAAAAAAGGTTTCAAATTTTTCCTTAGAATTTGAAATAATGGCATCAAATGCTTAAGTGTAACTTCACGAAAAACAACAAAAATTGAAAAAATGAAGAAAAAAGAAGAAGGAAAAAATTAAACTGACAACAAAATTGATTGATGTCCTTTTGTACAACAAGCGACTACTGGAATATTAAATATTCATACTTACCTATATACCGTAATACTCCCTACCTAATGATTGTCAATAGCATTACATAGAATATGCATACACATTATTTTATGTCTGTATAAGCAAACTCTGTTAAAAGTAATTTTATTTTACCTTCTCTACTCTCTTATACATAATATTCACCACTCCTTTGACCATCCTTTCGCACATGCTGTTAGTGTAGGAGTATGTATGTATGTATGAAAAGGGTAGCAGAAAAAGTTACGATCCCATCTAAATTGCTGTTATTAATTATGTAGGCACAACAAATGGAGTGAAGTGAAGTAAAGTAAAAAAAATTAAAATGTAAAAGTTCGCTAGGCGTTAAAAGCTTTACGTCAAATAAGCGCAGATGAGTTGCCTTCGGTGACAATAGATAATTGCCCAGAATACAAAGCATTTATATTCCAATTTTTCATTTCGCTTTGCAAGCAATTTGTCGTTTTTTACCTTGAGGTTCTATTGTTTTATACACTTTTAGCATTGGAATTCTATTTTCGCTTTTTCTTTAGTAATTTCTCCACGAGTATTGTACTGAATTATTTTTCTTTTCATTCTCTTGTCATTTACAGTACGTCCGACGAGCATATCCATTAACGGTGTGGAGCATCATACGGTGCAAGGCAGCAAAGTTGTGCTGACATGTGATGTAAGTACTGTAAGAAAATAATTATTAGATTATTAAGAAAAAAAATTTCACACCTTTTTAAAAATAATGAAATAATATTAATTCAATTTTATCAGAATTCAAATCAGAAAACTAAAAATTTACGAGTAATGATATCAAATAAGTAGACTAATAATTCTGAAGCTATTTGAAATTATTTTCACTTGGCAGAGAAAAATTTAAATTCCACATTTCCATCACCTTTCCTTGGGCCTAAAAAGAAAATACAAAAATCAAAAATAAATTTCTCCAACTACAATTTTCTATATCTCACTGTTATCGAGCTTTCAAGCAATTCCATCAGTAATCCCTTAACCTGCCATTAAATTCTAGTCAACAACTAACCATAACTAAGTCCATTTTGACATTTATGTAGGAGAGCTGTAGGGTAATTGCCAATAATTAACTGCCAATTATTACTTTGATTTTTCCTCATGAAAATTTCAACAATCATAAATGAATATGAAAAGATGGATGCATACATTTACACGTATGTACAAGTATACCTTCATATATGAAAATCATATGTGTGAGGTGTACACATATAAAACATGTCAGCATGACATAATTGGCCGTCAGCATTAGGGTATAATAGAATTATCAACGTTTAAACTTGTTAAAATGTAGAGTGTGTTAGGCGCTAACTATTATTTCGAAAAGTTTCATAGAAATTTTCGACAAACAAAACTACACACATACTCTAATTGTCGAACAAGTGATAAATAGAAAAATAAAAATATATAAGGAAAATAAAATTAAATTAATTAAAATAAAATAAAATAAAATAAAATAAAATAAAATAAAATAAAATAAAATAAAATAAAATAAAATAAAATAAAATAAAATAAAATAAAATAAAATAAAATAAAATAAAATAAAATAAAATAAAATAAAACAAAATAAATTAAAATAAAAGGTAAAACAAAGTAAAATAAAAATAAAGGTAAAATAAAACGAAATAAAATGACATAAATAAAAAAATTAATAAAGTTAAATAAAGTAATATGAAATAAATCAAAGTAAAATCATATATAATAATATCTAGTAAGGCAAAGTTAAATAAAATAAAAGTAAATTAATTTAAATGACAAATAAAACAAAATAAAATAATGTAATAAAAAATTATATAACTTTAAATGAAATTAAATGAAGTGAAATGAAACTAAAATAAGTGAAATTAGATTTAAACAAATTGTTTGTACTAAAAACATTAAGATTCTTCGGACCTCTTAGAAACTATAAATGTTATGCAAATTAATATGACAAAATATAACTTTGACCAGAATTTGTATGCTTGGCTGTTCTGCGAACACAGAGTTTGCGCAGCCGACGGTTGCTTGTAACGGCATAAGTAATAAGAAGTGCATGGGTCTCAAGTACGGGCGTTAGATCGGACCAAGCTTACGGTTTGTTATAAACAAAATGGTGCAGCAGAACAACTACACCATTATACCTTAAAACAGAATTTTTACTCTCCATCCCCACTTGACTCATTATCATATATTTAAAACATTAAGATCAGAACGCAACCAAACTAACTGGGTTTCCTATTTTCGGTTGGAGATAAATACTTACTAAAAATGGCAGGCATACGCCCAAATCTCTTATATAACAGTCCTTTCTCTTTTGATCAGTATGTGGTCTTAAGCTGAAGTATGTAAGGAAGATATCGAAAATTAGGACGTTTCGTTAAAGCCAAATAATCCATCAAATGTTAAAACTTAACAACAGCCGAGTATATTTACGTTCAAATCCACATGAATTAAGTCTCGCTTTTTCGTTTTATTTAAAAAAAAGTGCCACACAAAATGTGTTAAGTGGCAAATTTTCATCCAGTCTATTAACATTATTATTATTTCTTTAGTTTTTCCACAAAAAATTAATCTAGATATAATTGTATATGTAGGTAAAAATATCGTTCAGATGTTTACACTTTATGCTAGTGTTTTTGTCAAGCCATCGACATCTGAGCGTACATATGAGCGGCAAATTGCCATTTATTGTGATTTTAATAGCTTTTTGTGAAATTCGTTACATCGATTGCATCGTTGAAGCTGTTGTTTACCTCTGTGAGACTTATTAAACACATATTAACAAGCATATAACACAACAGCTTGGCATACAAACTCATGCACATATGTGCACACACACTGATTTATATACTCTTCAATATGGTTATTTAGAACACTGAATAATAGCCGCTTAATTGACAATTTATTGTTCAACAACAGCAACAGCAACAATAGTTTCAGCAATGGAAAATTTAAATTTTCTTCATCATTGCAAGTCAATGCAAAGCAAATGTGTTGGTGTAATTCTGTTGAAAATTGTGTTAATTGATTTTCCATACAATCAATGGTAATAAATTTAATTTGAGGCGACAGAAGGTAATAAGTAAAGCACTACACATACAGGTATTATCATATAGTGTTGAGAATTTAATTTTAATAAAGTTGCAATAATAAGAAATTTACATACTTTAGTAGCTTTTCCAATAAACTTATAAAATCAAAGAGGTAGTGGTAATTTCGCCAGCTGAAATTATTAAATTTGATTTCAACTTGACCGAAAAATAAAGTTGGAGCATGTCTTTTTGGTATACGATTATTTAAAAAAGAGGATAGTGAAACGCTGGAGTATTTCTTTGCGAGTCTACGGCAATCAGCCGTTTGAGATGTTACATCTTTCACAATGCACCCTGTTCCAAGCTCTCGGAGGTGGGCACACATGCTTGTTTGTAACTAAAACAATTCTTGAAATCGACTGAGCTTTCCCCAAACGTTTAGTTGGGTTACGCTTAGAGGGAAACGAGCGCGCTGAACGTCTAAGGTGTGGCCGCTGATGGTTAGATAGTCAACCTTAACCGCAGTTAATCTTCTTTTACGTTTAAAAAATGGTTAAATCAGTTATGTATGTGTTTGGGGCAATAGTTATTCATATTTTTTTTAGTTTATTGTAGGAACTACACAAAAACAGCTTGAAAGAAACACTTATTTTTGAGGAAAAGCTGTATGTTATGGACAACCGATCTGATAGCTTCGGAGAAACCATAAATAAATGGCAAAAATTTATCAATTTGTAAATATCTTTTTTACAACTCATAAACTAGAATGTTAGTTTGCATTATTTTATATTAAAGAGATCTAAATTTTGGTCATAAAACCAAAATGCGCACTTAATAGTTGTTGGTTAATAATGCATTGAATAATACAACAACAGATTATATTGCTGATGTTGGCGCAGTGGTAGAAACTCGCCTGTTAAGTCAGGATCCGTTGGTTCGATCCCTGCCATAAGAAGTCTGATGAGGAGATGTGGTGATCTCCGAAACAGCTGTCACTTCTACCATTTCTTCTTTGTTGTATAACAAATATGCAATTCATACAAAAAACAAGGCCTCGTAGGTTACTTAATAAAATTAAATATGTTAATATTCGAGTTTTAACTAAAATTGAATTTGATTGCTTTTGAATCAAAATAAATAAAATAAAGAATAAAAAGAATTATTTATTTTTTATAAAATTTCAGGTTCATGGCGCGCGACCAGCAGTAAATTTAACGTGGTATAATTCTTCGGCAGTTATTAGTCCCGAAGAGAATGAACTGACTGAAATTAGGACCAAAGCGGTAAGTTTATACATTATTTATACACAAGTTTTATTTAATTTTTTATTTTAATTTTTTATTTTTTTTTATTTTGAGAATAAAGTGCAATACCTTTATGGCAATTTTCTAAACTTGCCCTTAATTTTTCTGCAACATTACTTTCAATAAATGCAATTTTTACACTATTTAATACTCTAATCTGGTCATAATTGATACCATTTCATGCCTGTTGAAAGCGTTGGTAGCAAATTTAAACTTTCGCATTAAAATTTTTTATATAATATAATGAGAAAGAGTAAACAGTAATTATTATAGAATTTCTGTTTACTCATTCTTCATTCCATATATTTTACTACATTTTGAAAGAAAAACTTTATTTTGTTTGTATTTGACCTCTTTTGCAGCCAATTCATATCAAAAGTATTAAAAACAAACAATTATTTTCTTTCTTTTTTCACCTTTTCATCGTCGCTATCGCGCTTTACTTTGTCATTTTGCTTACAATGGCAGTTCGAAAAGGACGACGGCACGTATCACACGCAATCCGAGCTTATCTTCAATGCGACACGTTTCGAGAACGACATGATTTTCCGGTGCGATGCGGACAATGTAGTGCTGCAGCTAAATCGAGAGAAACCATTTACATCATCGCTGACACTGGAAGTTTTATGTAAGTTATGAGAAAAAAAAATAAACAACTACAAAAAATTCCAAAGATTTGTTTGCAATAAAAAAATTATGTAAAATTATTTTTACCAATTTTATGAACATCTACATATATATTCTTTTTAACTTACACAGATCCACCAGTGGTTAAAGTTAGCCCTCCCGAGATAACGGTAAACACCAGCGACACAGTGCTGTTGAATTGTGAATATGTGGCAAATCCGGCGTCGTTGACACAGGTTGTGTGGTAAGTAGCGCATATTTGGGAAATTTTTATTATTTTACAGACATTTAAATTAAATAAGTTTAGATATTGGTGTATATATCAAATGCGAAATAAAATTCAAAGTATATTGACCAATCAGTATGCTGCTGACTTCGTTGCACCATTATTGACTTTTAATTTCTAAATTGGCAAAAGTCATTTGTCTGCCGCAAGCCAATGAGGGTTTTGCACAAAAAAGTCAAATAAATTTAATTGCCCTCAAATCCATGCCCAGGCTGCTGCTGCCAAGTGATAGCGATTTCTCGCTGATGTACCAAAATGGCAATACAGCAACAAATGTGATTGAAATGTAGGCGCATCAACATCGCGCTAATACACATACACTCATACAAATAAATGCAATCAAAGTAAATGAAAATCAGCTTTAGACTAACAGTTACAGATATAGTGAAAGAGATAGACAAAGAGAGAGAATAAAACTTTCCACACACGCCGCATGCCACTCGACAAATACACATAGCCGCCAAGCAAAATGCAACCCAATTTAACTAAATTTCCAAATGTAAACAAAAAACTAATTAAAAACAAATACAAATGCAGATATGTTCGAAGGCATTGTGAAATCGTAGAGATAACTGTGCAAATAAACCAAATGGCAAAATCCTAGTGCAAAGACCGAGTGGACAACAATGGACGATTGAATGAAATATGCAACACATATGCACAGCTACATATAATTGTCGACACTGCAAACGTATGTATGTATAGAATTTGCCTGCGAAAATGCGTAAATGTACTAATGCAGCCGCCAATAGCGTATGCAAATAGTTCAACACACTGCTTTCTAGCAAATGGCTAAACAAGCAGAGTAAAGCAGACACAATCCTTCGTGTAATGACTGCTACACATAAATGCTACATACAACATCTGTATAGTGTAAAGGAATATATTATACACACAGGCTCCAGGCTTAGAGTATTCATTCTAAATTTCCATTGATACTTTGCTAATGCATTTGCGGACATAATATACATTTCTATATTTGAACACGCTCAATTCGTGTTCACAAATACACTAGATATAGCATTTGATTGAAGGGAAATCGTAAAATAGTGCCTTTATTTCCATATTAGGTGACAATATGAATTAACAAACAAGCAAGTTTAAGTAAAAATAAAGGTTAATATACATACATCGAGTGCACGAAAAATCCCGACATTATTAATAAGCTGATTGGAGCGTAATACAGGGCGTATGAGTAACATTAAAAAATTTAGTAAAGCAAAATAAAAAAATTTAAACAAACAGATATAAAATAGAGTAATATAAATTAAAATAAAAAAAATAGAATAGGATAAAATAAAATAAAATAAAATAAAATAAAATAAAATAAAATCAAATAAAATAAAATAAAATAAAATAAAAAACAAAATAAAATAAAAAAATTAAATAAAGTAAAGTGATATTAAATTTAATAAAATTAAATTAAAAAACATAAAATAAATAAAACAAAAAAGTATAAAAATAATTAAAAAATACCCAATAAAATTAAATAAAAATAAATATAATAAAAGCAAACAAAATAAAATAATATTAAAAATAAGGTAATAATATTAAATAAGAATTAAATGAAACAAAATAAATCCAAAATATTTAAAATAAAATGAAAAGAATTAAAATAAAGAATAAATAAAACAAAACCAAAAAAAGTAAAATACTATAGGGTATAATGAAATACAATAACTTAAATGAAATATTATAAAAAAAAAATAATTAAAAAATAAAATAAAATAAAATAAAATAAAAAAAATTAATAAAATAGTGTATTAGAAAGTAAAATAAATTAAACGAAATGAATTAAAATAAATTAAAGGGGAACAAAACAAAAGTAGATTTAATGTATAGGAATTTTAAGAAAAAAAATAAAACATTATTACAATATAAAGAAATATAAGTTTAACTAAAATTGAAAAAAAAAAAATTAAATAAAATTAAACAAAAAAATCTTTTTTGGGTGAGGAGATGAAAAATCGTCATGATTGTGCCGTCACATCAATGGTATGTGCCACTTGCAGGTCACCAAAAAACTCTCCTCGGAGAAACCGTCACCCGCCCTAGAACAGCTGTCGCATTACTTCAAGATGGCATTCCATATATCTCGTCATGAGGCTTACATATCAGCACTTGAGTTCAGGTCCTACATAACATAATATTAAATAGGTTAAAGTGTTTTAAAAATAAATAAAAATTAAAGAAGACAAAAAAGTTTATTAAATATAAATAAATATGTATAATAAAATTATAATAATAAAATTTAATTTAACTGTACTAAATTATATAAATTAAATGTAACCTAAATTAGTTTAGCTCATAAAGTTAAATAAAATTAACTACATTAACTAAACAAATTGAATTAAAGTATTGTAACTTAAATTGGAATAAAAAAAAATAAAATGAATTAAGGTAAATACAATTAATAAAAACTTAGTTAAAAATTTGATACAATAATGTTAAAATGTATATTAGCAACAAGTATGTATATATGTACGTAAATTGATTTTTAAACTTTTACAATTAGTGTAATTAAGAATGCTTAAATTCTAATTTGAGTACGAAAAACGTGCCAAAAGAAGATTTGTGATTCAAACACAAAAGATTTATGCGTGACCAAGATATGGCAAATAGTGAGCGACAACTCAATTGCAATTTACAGTTGAATTTATTCACGTACGGCACATATGCACACATATGCTGAACATACATACATAGCAATTGCACACCATAAGTGGGAAATTCCAGCATTTCAAGGAATAGATCTAGAAAATAAGCGACACTGACACAACGTACGAAACGAGAGTAAGAGACACTGCGGAGGGAGCGAGTAAAAAGGGCATAGCTCGGCTGCACTTGAAAACTTGAAAACAAATAGCATGCAGAGCCATTGAGTTTGCCTGCTGCAGTCGATGTTGGGTCGCTTGTATGTCTTTCTCTTCTTCTTTTGCTTCTGCTACTTCTAACTTGCTTCCGCAGTGTTCCAGCTGTCAACTTGAGTGTATTTCTTCATTTCGGTATTTTCTCTATTTCAAGCGCCAATTCATAAGTCAAGTCCTTCGGGGGCACATCCTTCCTGCTGTTGGCCTGTCACAGCTGCACTACACTCGGCGATTGCGGGGCATGAAGACATTGAAGTACAAAAACAAAGCAGCAACACATGCTGCAACATGAATATATGCATTTTGAATCAGTGACAGCTGTAATAGCAGCAGCACCAAGCGCCCCACCCCCCCCCCCCCCCCCCCCCCCCGACGGCTCGAAATTCAAATTCATTCATTCTTTCCTGCGCTGATTGTCTGTTATTTGTTTGGTTGGCCGCCTCGACGTTACTGGTGTGACTTTATATTTGTTTTGTCTCTTACTCCCTTACTACTCTTACTTTTCTTGCACGTCCCGCACGCGCTGCGTATGCATATGTATTTGCATTCGCAATGTGGCAAGTGTGCTGCACCAAAAACTGCATTTTGCTGCGTTGATATTTTGCTTGTTTACAGTTGACAGTTCGGCTAACTAGTAAGTGTGGCATGCAACTTTCGACTGTTTTGTAGTAACAACGACAACAACAAGCCACTTTTTAAAGCGTACATGCATGCGTATGTGTGTGTGTGTGTGTGTGCATATACAAGCATCTACAACTATGTATGTACAATAGACTGGCGATGCGTGCGTGTGCATATGTTGCCGCCTTTAGATTGTTGCATAAATTGAAATTGCCACAAAAGCGCAAATTCTGTATTCAAAAAGCATAAAATTTAACAGCAACAAAGAAAATACTAAAATCTCCCAATGTTGCACACACTACTCCGCTGACTTGGCTCTGCTCAGCTCTTGGTGACATCATGTGGCACACAAATCCTGCCGCAATAAAACAAACTGATTCTCTGCACTTGCCACTTGAATTGTTGCAAATTTGTTGTTGTAAGATTGCATAGCATATACACGTACACAACGTATTATATGTGCGTGTAACTTGTAGGTTGTACATGAGTGTATGTAACCCAACATTCCAGTTACTACAAATATACATACGTACATACATATGTATGTGTCATTGTGGCAATTGCTTTATGCTCCACCGACGCATAGTTTATTCGCAACAAAACGACGTGACACAGTTATGTCACAGCCACTCGCTCGCTCCACATTACTTAAGGTTTTGTGCAGCAAATCTTTCGAGCATCGCAGTAACTGCCTTTGCTTCACATCTCCGCTACATACATCCTTTGCTACCAATGCAACGTTCAGATGCGGCTGCAGTGTTAAGAGGCCATGTTTTGAGAAATCTTGAAAGAAAAGTCTGATATAAAGACTTTTCATTTGAGAAATGAGATTACTTGACTTCCGTATACACACTTATGTACATAAATACATAGGTCAGCACTGTGTCTGCGTTAACTTCAAATTCCTTACGAATTTACGGAAATCGTGACCAATGGAAAGATAACAAATAAGAGTCATCTGCATTAACAAACAGTGTTCCAAAATTCATTGAGTCGAAACAACCCAGCTTCAGAAGAACCATCTTCCTGTCTACTCAACTTGAAATTCAATATTTGACGAAAGTAGAAGTAAATTAGTGATGAATCCAAAGGAGTAATGCCCTTCAACTACGAGGTGTGACAATAAAGAGACTTATTATACTGCTGCCACTGTGGTAACCCTGCGACCTTGAAATACCCTTCTTCCGGTATCCTGCTCCCCCCTCCCCCCCATTGACATATTTGCCATCGCGCTTGCCATCAGCTTATGTAGTTCGCCTGCTGTGTCGCGTTGAGTAAACGTGTGTTTGTGGCGTTCGTCACGAAAGTGGATAAACGAAATCAAATGCAAACTCGTCGCGATAAAAGTTTTTCCACAAATTGTGCGAAACAGCTTTGGAAACGTACGCTAAAATTACGATGAAAGCTGGTTTTTTCAATACGACCCGGAAATCAAGCGCCAAAGCTCACAGTGGTTGCCTCTGCACG